CAAATATATCAAGAATAATGAAATCAGTTGGAAAGAAATGATCTTCAACTTTGGCGAGCATATCATCTACCACTCCATAAGGATGCTTGAATGTCCTATCAGTCAGCTGTATGATTATTGATGTTGTTTTTGGATCATCCAATCTTATTTTCCTGTAGATAGACAATAGCATCAGATTAATACTTGCTCCTGAATCAACAAAAGCATTTAAATTAAGTTATTTTCCTATAGAGAAAGGTAATGTGTAAATTCTTGGATCTTTTAGTTTAGAAAGGAGCATTTACTTTATGATTGCGCTACATTCTTCAATCAATGCCACTATTTCATCCATGACAGCTTTTTCTTCTTAGTCAAAATCTCTTTTAGAAATTTTGTATAATTTGGAATCTAATAAATAGCGTCAATGAAGGAAATGTTGATGTGAAGTTGCCTAAGTGAATCCAAGAACTTTTAAAATTGCTTTTCCAGCTTATTATTCTGCAACCTTTGAGGGGATGAGACTGAAGGTGTGTGTTTATTGACAGGAATGGTAGCTTTAACTTGTAGACTGTTTGACTTTTCTTCTTGTGTAACATTTATTGATTCTTTAGACTGAACCACTTGTTTCTCACCCATGGTAGTTACCTGATTCCCATCGATCCATTTCTTCTTTATAGTAATTTCTGACAGCTGAACTCCACTTCTTGTTATGATAGTCTGGACTAGTTCTTCTTTAGGTTATTTTCGAAGCCTTTGAGAAAATGAAATAGACGATACATAAGCTCGAATACGCATAGCAATCTTGTATGATGGTATTTCCATAATCGCATGATTCATAGCTTCAACTGCTAATACTTGTTCACTTGGGTTTTTTCTGTGTCGCTTGGTAAGGTACCCTGAGTACTCTCTGCTAATGCAACTGCCATTTAACCCATTTAAGTCTCCAAATTTTTAATTGCTGACTACAATTTCTGAATAATAGCATGTTGATTTTGGAAATTAGTCTCACTTTTAGTAATGAACTAAGTTAATAATTCCTCAATCGACGGCTTTCTGTTTTGCTGCTGCTATTGTTGTTGGAATCTCGACGGTCTTGCTTGTAAATTTCTTTCTTGTCCTTGAATTTGATTGTTATCTAATGAGAAATTTGAATGATTCCTCCACCTCAGATTATATGTGTTGTAGTGAGGGTTGTTCTGTTGCCTCTAAAAATTTTGTGCATAACTAACTTCCTCAAGCTGGATTACATGCGTGGAGGCTAAATGACATCTTTCTCTAGAATGATGAATCCCGTAACCTTCGCAAATCGATTTTGGTTGGTGTACCATGTTCATATTTTGAGTAAGACTATCTAACCTCCTTGTCAATACTTCCATTTGGGCTGCTAATGATGTAGCTATGTCAACGTTGTATATTCCTACTGTTTTCCTCAACATTTCCCTGTCTATTGCCCACATGGATTGATTCTATGCAATTCTCTTTAATAGGTCCAAGGCGTTGTCTAATGGAATATTCAATATTCACCAACTTGCTGAAGTATCAGCTATATTGCGAAATTCAAGTTTTAAGCCTGAATAGAATATGCAGATCTTAGAGTCTTTAAAAATGTTCAGATTAGGGCATTTCACTAATCTCTTAATTCTATCTATGGAGATATGTCCCAATCTTTGATGACACAATGTAGAGGAATTTTCATTCATAATACAACATTTATTACCAATGTGAACATGCATAACATTATTAGCAGTACTATGTTGTAAATTAATAAAGAAATGACCATCAGACAAAATATCATTCCCAAGATCAGATTTATAAATTTGATAGATGTATCTGAAAAAAAAAATGAAAATCCCAAAAGTATAAGTCTTGAAACTAAAATCAAATTTGTAGAAAAACATGGAACATAAAAGGTCTTTTCCAAATCTAAAACATGGTCATTATTTGAAACTAAATTGCATGCTCCAATAGCCTCCACACATGAATCCATTTTGTTTCCTGATAAGATGTTTTGCTCACTTTCAACTGGCTTCCTTAGGTTTCACATACCCTGCAAGGTATTTAAAATATGGATTGTAGCACCAGAATCAATCCATCATGTATTATGATTAACATCAACCGTAGTAGATTCATAACAAATAAGAGAGATTGATTTACCTTTATTTTCAAGCCATTTCTAAAATTTGGTGCAATCTTTCTTCCCGTGTCCCTTCTTTTTACAGAAGAAACACTTATTTTCTTTCTTGATTTCACCTTGGGGTGGTATTTTACCTTTTCCCTTTTGTTTGGCTTGTATATGATTCTTCCTTGGTTCTGGTCCCTTTCACATGTTACCAATAATGCACTCTCACCCATTTCCATATCCAATCTTCCTTCCTCTTCAACACACATGGTCAAAAGTTCATTGATTGGCCATTTGTCCTTATGCGTGTTATAAGAGATTTTGAAGGGTCCATATTGCTGCAAAAGAGTTTTCAATATGTAGTACATAAGGAAAGAATCAAACATTTTTCAACCTCTAGAGTTTTCAATTGACCCACAATGTCCCACATATGCATGATGTGCTCACGCACACCTCTCACACTAATGAGCTTTAAGGACGAAAATTTCATTATCAAGGTGCTAGCGAGTGTTTTATCTGATGTCACAAACTGTTCATCAATAGCATTTAGTGATGCCTTGACATTGTCATGCTGATCCACACAACCTCCAATACCATTAAAGATTTTGGTCTTTATGAACATCACACTAAGGCGATTAGATCGCTCCTATTGTTCCTGCAGAGCCTTTTCTTCTGGAGTGCTAGTCGTAATAATAGTCGGTTTGTGCTTCTTGATAGCATAACCAATGTAGATGCGCCCCAAATGACGGAGAATTATCTTCTTCCATACCTTATAGTTGCCCCTTTCAGTTCGGGAATATCACAGTTGATATTAGAAAAATTTGTAGGTTGCATAACTACATAAAAAATAAATATACATGCTTACATTACATAAATTTGAGACCACTAAAGACATATCATATTTTACCAATGTAAATCATGTTCCAGAAATTATGAATTTAATGACATAAAACTTGCCTATGGGCTAAAGTTTTAATTCAATTAAATTCACCAAACTTTACGATAAGACTAACAAATTTATGTTCCTTTTCTTAATTCCTGTATGTAAATTAAGAATTATAATTTGATATTTTGCCCTAATTAATCATACAAATATAATAAAAATTCTTGAGAGATAAAATTTATTGTATAAAATGTGAACAATTACAATAAATGTCATTTTGCTATATGTGATCCTAAACAACTTAATATATACAGTTTGCATAATTAAAGATGATGTGGCTAATCTCTAATTACTTAAAAGTATATGGATAACTAGACATTTAGTTTATTCTAAGATTTGCTCATACATAAATTGTATATATTAATAGGCAGTATTACATGTAAAATAACATAATTTTACCACATATCAATACAATGTTTGCAGTAAAAACTTTTAGCTTATTTGTGCAAATTTGGAAAGTGTAAAGCCTGAACTTATTGCTCCAGCTATCATAATTACGTTCGAGTTCGTCATTCACGGAGTACATAAAAATATTCATAAGAAATGATAATTATTCCATTTAATTATTTTGATAATCTGAAAATGTGATTTGGGCCACACAAAAAAAAAAATCCAAAAATATCATCCAAATAATTGGCTAAACAACCAGTCAATTCGGCCAACCATTTCAAGGGGTAATTACATAAACACCCACAAAATTGGGGGCATTTCAAAAAATCATGCTAAAAGTTATCTTGAAGTAGAAAATACGGTCATTTTTTGTCGGGCAACTTACAAAAATACCCTAAAAATTAAGAGTCTTTTAAAAAATCATATGAAACATATTTTGGAAGTAAAAAATACTGTGGAATCAATTGTCACTTTTTTTAATAGAAGAAAAAGTGACACGGTAAAAAAAAGTGACACTGAAAAAGTGATCTATGGTCACTTTTTAAAATTAAGTGTCACTTTTTTATTAAAAAATGACATATAATGTCACTTTTATTAAAAATTGATATTTATCACTAAAAAACTTGATAGAAATCAAGAAGGCAACTGAAAAAAGTGGTAAATACTAAAAAAAGTGACAAATTTTAAAAAAGCGACGAATTCAAAAAAAGTGGTACAAATTAAAAGAAGTTGTACAAAATAAAAAAGTGACGAACAATAAAAAAGTGACAAACACTCAAAAAGTGAAAATTCGAAAGAGTTTCAAGCACTTTAACAAGTGACAAAAATTTAAAAAGGTGACAACACTAATTAAAACATTAAAATCAGTTTAATAAAATGATAGAAAATAGTGATACAACTACCGTCCCATTACATAGCTTTCTTGCTTGTTAAAGCACAATAATTGAAAAATTACTTAAATATATGAACTTCTATTTTAATTTTTAGCAGAGGAAATATTCCGTATGCATTTTCTTTTCTTCATTTGAAACATGGTATAGAATCTGGAATACTTCTATGTAGTCCACCTCTCTCTCTCTCTCTCTCTCTCACACACACACACACATACACACACATTATTCCTCTGCGAGTAGTTCACTTTATAGAGTTTTGATTGTTTGGTCAAAACAACAAAAAGCCTTACTCCCAATCAACGTTGAGCTGACTACGTCAATCATATTTTTGCAATTCTATTTGATATAGGCTCTAAATCTATTGAAAGTTTCAATAAATACAAATCCTTTGCAACCCCAAGAAACCATGTTAATTTGTCCACCTCTCCTCTCTGCTGGGATTGCGCTGCTGCTGTGAATGCGAAAGGTGCAGTAGCACCAGTTAATAAAAATTCTCCACTAACAATTTGAAAACTATTAGCTCCGTGAGGGGAATAAATGTACAACTTTACTTTTTTGCACGAGTCCTCTTAGCCTCTGTTTTTGTATATGAATTTGCTAAAACCTTCGGCATCACATTAAGGGCACAAAATGGCATCAACAATAATCACACTCGGCAGTAAAATCGAAACAGGCATCAACTGTTGAGGGTCGACAGCATTCCACCAGTTGCTGTTGGGATAACAACTTCCCAACCAGGTCCTTTAAGAGGAATAGGGAATGGCTTTGCCTCATGGTTTTTGTTATCTGAAGAATTCACAATCAGATCGTTGCGATCCAAAATTTTCTCCAAATTTTTGTCACTAATGCTCATTTGTATCCACTTATCATTTCCGTCTTCTTCATCTCGAAGAAGCGCTAGCAATTCCTCCTCCTGAGAAAACAAAACTAGATCAGTGAGAAGCACAGGAGTGAAACACATGCGACAAAATGGTAAATGTGCAGGGTGGACGAACCGTCATGACATCACTTCTATCTACCTTGGTTCTTTCTTGCTTAAACTGTCCTTTCTCGATCACCACATGCTCAAGCTTCAACTTGCTAAAAGCTCTTTTTAGAATTCGACCCTGATAAAATCACATTGAAGGTTTCTTCGTTAAAAATTAAAAAAGGGGGCTGAAATATGAGAGAGGAGATCGATGCGGCTTATGAAGCATACCTCAACAGACTGAGCTAGTTAGCCTGTAAACATGAACATGTTTTGTTTCCCCAATCCTGTGACGCCGATCCATCGCTTGCAAATCCATCTGTGGGTTCTGCAGTGCAAGAACAACTTACAAATATTTAAACCTCAAAAGAGAATACAGATGATCTCTAGGTTAGGAGATTTATAGTTGAATTTGCTCGGATTTTGCTCGTAACTTCGCCTCTAGAAATTTGGGGTTACAATGGGAGATGAAACATTTCTGAGGAGGAATGGGGGATTAAGTGGTTTAGGCTTGTTGTAGTTAATCAGGTTGGGTTTTGGTTGGAGTTAATTAGGTGGTTTAGGAGGTATTTAATACTTTCTTAAATTGTTTAATTAGTTTAAGGGTATTGATCAAAATACTTTTAAAAAGGGTATAAGGCCTAATTTTCCCTTTTTTTGTCCATGCAAGGTGTTCAAGACTGGCCAACACTGCTGCAACTCTGACAACTGTGGCCCAACCAACTATTTTAAGTTTTTTAAGGACAAGTGTAGATGCATTGGTGTTTTAATTTTTACAAGTAAAATGTTAATTATTTTCACAGTAAATTAAATAAATAACTTATTTATAACTTTTGTTATTGCAAGATTACTTATTTACAACTATAACTTACATTTAAAAAGTGATAAACACTAAAAGAAAATGACAAAAAATTTAAAAAAAGTTACGTACACAAAAAGTAATACAAATTCAAAATAAGTGACAAAAAAATAAAAAAGTGACAAATACTAAAAAAAAATGAAAGAAATTCAAAAAAGTAACACTAAAAATGGTAACAGAAATTCTAAAAAAGCGACGTACTCTAAAAAAAAGTGACACAAATTCAAAACAAGTGACAAAAAATTTTAAAAATGACAAACACTAAAAAAGGTGACACACTCTAAAAAATAACAGAAATTCAAAAAACGACATACAGTCAAAAAAATTACACAAATTCAATAAAAATGACAAAAAAAATGACAAAAAATAAAAATATTACATAAATTTAAAAAAATAGCAAACACTTTAAAAAAGTGACACAAATTCATGACAAAATAAAAAAAGTGACTAACACTCAAAAAGTTATAGAAATTAAAAAAAAAAAAGGAACACACTAAAAAAGTGACACGATTTTTTTTTTAAAAAAAGTGACACAGTAAAAAAAAAGACAGAAAGTCAAACAAAAGGTAACAAACATTCAAAAAATTGACACAACATGTCACTTTAAAAAAAATTGATTTATTTAAGGGCTATGTTTATTCACTCTTGCGGTGATTTTTTGTTATCTTATTATCGAAGTTTTCACGACAAATTTTGAAATATATCTTTCGAATTTAAAATTAATAAATGATTAATTCATAATTACAATTTGAAAATGGCCACAAGAAATGAATAATTTTTACATTGATATCGATTAGGAAAAAAAAAATAATCATAATTTTATGTTTAATAATTTATGGAAGATAATTTTCTATTTTTAAATATCGTCCATACAATATTTATCATGATTGTGTTGCAAGCCTCTAACGGATTATTGAATAGCTCATAATGAATAACTGTAGCATAAAATATACCATCGAACGAAAATATTTTAATAAAAAAAAATTTAAGAAGAGAAAAAATTTAGATTAGAGGGAAGGTTTGTCCGCCTGTGTTTCCAGGTGAATTTGAGCATAGCGTAATTAATAATGTAATTAAAAATATAATTAAGTTTAAGCGCATAATTCTAGTTATTTCATTTTTTAAAGTAATGGGCCTACGTATCCCCCATTTCAATGTCCAAATATTTGGCCCATTTAAGTCATCCCTGACCTCCAGCTATTCTACTTCATTTTTGTTCAATCAGATTATGAAACTCAATTGTCTCTCACGGTTCCAACCATTAAATTAGACGATTTAAATTCCAGAATTCCTAGAAATCCAATTCCTAAAGATTTCTAAACTCAAACATTAAAATTCTCCAGAAAACACATAGAACAATTCTTAGAAATCAAGGCAGAGATTATAAAAGGATCAGATACCAACTATGAGCTTCCTATATCTATGCTTATATATATAACTGTAAACACAATCAAACGTGGAAGTTTGGACTATCGAATTACCTCCCGCCATTGTTGACATGAAAGCTTTTCGGAACCGAAAAAACGCAGCTGTTGTTCTACAAGTTTGAAATAGGGCAGCATATGGTCCGGTTCGATTCAGTTCAGTTCTCCTTAGAACTGGATCAAACCCGAATTTTTGGGTATTCAGTAAATGAAACCGTCTGATCCAAATTTAATTATGGAACCATTCGGGTTCGGTTCCATTCGATTCAGTTCGATTCTCGGGTTCCGTATAATTATTAATTTTTTTATATTTATAACAACGTTACATTAATTCAATTAATAACATATTCAATTTTAATTTTTACAAAATAACATTGTTGAATCCCTTGATTTTTTTTATCCATCTCTTTGTTGAGTTCTCCACATATTTGATAGTTAAAATCACATCAAGAAGAAGATAGCGATCTCAAAATAATAAAGAGAGGCTTCCAATTCGATTTATCTGGATAGAAACGGCATTATAGTACAATAAGAGATGTGGGAAAAAATTTAGGCCAATTTGATTAATTAGACTTTGGCTGGAAATTAGAAATAGGAAAATTATATTTTGAATTTGGACTAAATTAATTAGTTAGCAAATTTATTTATTTTTAAAAATAATTTGACTTATTTAAGATAAAAAAAAATGAAGGATCTAGAACCGAACCGAATACGTCGTTCTCGATTCAGATACCTGTTCGAATATTTTACTTAAGAAGAACCGTTCAATTCGATTCAGTTCAGTTCTGGTCCGTTCAGTCAGTCCGATTCAAGAGTTTTGTTCGGCCCTAGTTTGAGAGCTTCCAATGACTTGTTCCAGTCTCTGAATGATGGTTTAGTACATACGAGTAGACGAAATAGCATTAGGGACCCCAAACATTATTTCCATTATAGACTCAGTCCATCACCGATTCTTTTCCGTAATTGTTGGAATTATCAATTATTCACAACAACTTCCAAATTGGCCAGACTTATTATTGGAAGTGCAAATCATTGATTAATGGAAGGTTTAGGCCATGCTCGGTTCTCCTCAATTATAAATGGAAAATTTCTACACTAATTAGATATTGTAATAAACGAAGAATGAAGGCGACAGTTGATAAGTAGAAATCTAGCAATGCATCGATTTTTGTGGACACTAGTGAATCAGAAGAAATCATGTGAAGAAGAATATTATATATAAGCGTTGGATGGTCTAATTCTTTTGTAAATATGATGTTTTTTGTATTGTGTTAAATGATGACCTTTTGTAGCCCTTTCTATATTTTGCAGAGGTGAAGTTGCTTCCAGAATATGTTGGCTGGCTGTATATAACTGTTGTCGATTTTTATATCCCGCAAGTGTACGGATCGTGACAAGTAATAAAGTGGACCTAAGAGTCCGGATTATCGTTCCCACGAGGACTATACTTTAGTCTTAATCTACTTTTCTTAACTCCTATTTGATGGGAATAAACAAATGAAGGATTGTGAATATTGATTTTCTAAATGAACTAAATGTCTAAAACAAATAAAAAGTATGCAGAAATAACAAATACAAATAGATCAAAGATTCATGTATGTAAGATGTATTAGGACAAAACAACTTCATCTAATGATCACCTTAGTTCACAATTCAAGATTCTAGCCTAATGTAGTGTTCGGTCGAACTCTCCTACGGTATTCAATTTACCCCTCTCGAGTTCTCATTGAGCCTATTTAACTAATTTAATTCCATATCTCTATGCGAATTCTCCTTAGTTAAACGAGTTAAGGCACTAGGAATTCATATAACGACCGTAGTACTTAGTATAGGTATCTCTACACGTTATACCTCGTTACCAGATTTTATTACACGTTCTAAGTCTCGAACTCACCTCTCGACTCGTAAGAAACTCAATGGATCATCAAATTATTGATCAGGTAATTTGAAGCATTACACACATAATAAAATCAACACATGGAAGAATAAAACTCAGAAATTATTGAATTAAAGAACTAAGGGTTTCAAAAGATTACATTGTTCGCCCTAATAATAAATTTAGCTAAACATGATGAAGAATATGAAAGGAATAAACATATTGGAATACATCACCGGATTATTGGAATAAAGATATGGAAAAGAATAAACTCTTGCACCAAGGTCTTCTTCCGCTTCCAATCTTTGCTTTGATATCGAATCTTTGATGTTTCTTCTTGAAAATCCCTCTTTGATCTTGTGTTCTCCTCTCTATTTTGCAATCTCTCCCTCTTTTCCAATGTGTGAGAACCCCCCTTTTTCCAAGCCTCCTTAGGTCTATTTATACTTTCATATCCGTTCTTGGCCAATTTGGAGTCTTTTTGTGGAGTTTTCGCGGCCCAAACAATAAAAACCTAAAATCCGTGGCGGCGCGCGGCGCTTGAGCGCTATGGGACAGCGCTTGAGCGCTGAAAATCTGTTAAAAATCCATTTTCTGGCTAGTGCAGCGCTTGAGCGCTGAGTGTGTAGCGCTCGGGCGCCAAGTTTCTGTCCACTTTGCGTCTGTTTCAGTAATTTTGTCATAACTTTTCCGTCCGATGTCCGATTGAGATGATTCAAGTTGCGTTAGAAAGATAACTCGAAGGACTACAACTTTGATAGAAATAGATCTTCTTCAATTCGAACTTTATCTAGGCCAAAAATGCGTCTCAATCTCCAACTAAAATTTAGACATCCTTGTGCGGTTGGAAATTGATTTGTTTTCACTCCTTTTGATCTTTCGTTGCATCCATTTGACCTCTAGCATTCTTGAATCTTCATCGTGAGCTTCGACACAACTTTTGTGTATTTGCACTTTAACCCTCAAGCTTTGGATCTTTCCACTTTTTCGCCAATTTTTGCATTCTTTTCTCCAATTCTTCATCATCCATCGAGTTTCACCTAATAACACATTATATCATAAATTAGGCTATAATCTCATTAAAAAAACCACAAAATGTCATAATTTGGAGCCCGAATAAGTGTATAAAATACACTTATCAATAACTTCATCATGCATGC